TAAATCCATTTAAATCACTAACTCCTCCCTTTCATACACCATAATCTATCGTACCTTTCAAGTACCATAAAACCCTTTTAGCTACTACAAAATGTTGTTGTATTGGACATGCAATAAAACAACTAATCAAACTTACAACAAACATGAGATCAAGACGAGTAGCTGTGCCAAATTGATTACAAAATTACAAACAGAATTGTCATTTTCTATGCCAAATTGATTAAAACTTCAGCAGCATACTTTCTTTTACATATAAAAATATCATCTAATCTTTGTATTACCTCTATTCCAAGAAAAAATCTCATCTGGTCTAAGTCAGTCATATCAAACTCTTTCTTCATGGAACGTTTAAATTCATCCAGTTATTTTTCATCATCTCTCGTAAATAAAAGATCATCAACATAAATGCTTATAATAAGAATTTTACCTCCCTCTTGATAAAGAGTGTTTGCTCACTGGATTTGCTTTTGAATCCTTCCTTGATGAAGTAGGATTCTATTCCACTAAACTAGGTTCTAGGTGCTTGTTTTAATCTGTAGAGAGCCTTTTGGAGTTTGTACACCATCTCCTCACTCCCCTTTTTCTCCTCACTCCCCTTTTTCTCATAGCCTTTACTAGAATCTACTAACCATACAGGTGGATGTCGATTTCTCCCATCCCTTATTGTCAAATCTGGTGCAACAGTTACTGGAAAGTTGTTTACAGCAACTGGTTCAATTGTTTCAGCAACTGATTCAGTCGTTTCTTTCGTGATTTTTCCTTCTTCGTTTTTAGCAACTGGTTCAATTGTTTCAGCAACCAGTTTAGTCATTTCATCTGTGATTCCTCCTCCTTCGGCTGTGTTCTTATCAATTTCAATGTGTTCCCCAGTCTAATTTTTCCATTGCTCTCCATTTACCTGTTTTTGAAAATGGAGTCCGATGTTGCTTGCTTTTCATACATGCATCACAGGTGGTGTTTGGAGCTCCAATTTGTGGCAGCCTTTCACCATGCTTTTGTGTTTCAAGGTGCACAAGCCTTTGTGGCCGAGATGACCATATCGATGGTGTCAAAGTGTTGACTGATCCATATTTGAAACTTGGAGGCATCTTTCTTCATTTGTTGTGGTGGATGGTTTAGTACCCAAAATAAACTGCCGATTTGCGCTCATAATTGACTCTGGTATTTTTCCTTTTTGTGGATGATAAATGCTACATACACAATCTTTAAACAACACTGCTACTTCTTTTTCTTGTAGTTGTCCAACGTTTAAGAGATTATTTTTGAGTTCAGGTACCCAATACACATTACTAATAGTGCAACGAACCCCATGCAAAGTTAATTTCACCGCACCCTTTCCCATAACTTTCGTACTTGTATTATTTCCAAGTTTGACAATGTGGGAAAATGTCTTGTCTAAGCTTGAGAACATACCTTCACTTGCACACATATGGTTTGAGAAACCAGAATCTAAGAACCAAGCATCACTCCTTTTTGCTTCATGTCTTTCCATATGAGCCATTAACAACATTCCATCCTTCTCTTCTAGCTCTGCATAATTCAATTCCTTATTCATCTTTGGACATTTGTATTTAAAATGACTTAAGTCACGACACCTATAACATTCAACAGTTGCTTTGTTGAAAGTTGATCTTCCTCTTCCACGTCATTTGCCCTTGTAAGTTCCTCTTCCTCCATTACTTATTTTCATTCGTCCTTCGACTTTTAGAACTTGCTCCTCTCCATTAATGCTGGATCTTCGAAATTTTTGTTCATGCACCACTGATGAACTTTGTAATTCATCAATGGGCATGTTATCAGCATCTTTGGATTCCTCAATAAATACTACAACATAAGTAAATTTTTCAGTCAGGCTACCATAATTTTTTCTACAATTTTCTTGTCTGGCATATCTTCTCCCTTGCTTCTCATGTTGTTGGAGATTATCATCACTCTTTCAAAATAATATGTGATACTTTCATCATTCTCCATCTCTAGGATCTCAAATTCTCTCCTTAATGCATTAAGAAGAGATTTCTTCATTTTTTAGTTCCCACCAAATTTTCACTTCATTGAGTCCCAAACAATCTTGGCTATACGACGATCCAAGATTTGTTCAAAGACAGTAAGATCAATTGCCTGGAAGAGGTAATGCTTCACTTGGTGATCTTTGAATCTAGCATCATCAAGGTGGCCCTTTTGTGTCTCAGTCAACATTGTTTCTTCCTCTGATTCTGAGAAACCAATCTCCACCACACTCCATAGACCTTTTGCTCTGAGCAAATTTTCCATTAGCTTACTCCAATGATCATAGTGACCATTGAAGTGAGAAATTTTCGTTAAAACTTTGTCTTCATTCATACTCTCTCTATTTGATCACTCAAAATTGCTGCTCGGATACAATTATTAGGTTTTGACATAACTAAGCCAGAAACATAAAAATTGAAGTTTGAAGTGATAATATGATTGAATACTGACTTGGTTCATAGCCTTACAAATAAGGCTAAATAGAAACTAACCACAAATCTGGTAAACAAATCTTGGAAACAAATCTATTAGTAAACAAATCTCGAAAATATTTAAACTAGATCCCTAAAAATACTCTAACTATTTTGACCTAATCAAATTCTTCTAACAAGAACGATAGCGTTAGAATATGTTCCTATGATATGTAACGTTATGATTGTGATAGGTATAAGAACGTTAAGGCTATGATAAGTTAGGAAACGATATGACCACAAAGTGTTTACAATATGATATGATTATGATACGACATGTGAACGACGGATATATATATATATATATATATATTCTTGTCATATGATATGAAATATGTTATTGTATGAGATATGTGATAAATTGACATGTTTATGATATGATATATTGTGATGCAATATGTTATGGTATGATATGTATATGATGAAATGTTATGTTAAAAGCATGGAACGTTCTGTTATGTCTCCTAAATTGTATGTATACAGAATGTTATGAATGACATGATATCACGATAAGTGACATGAAATTAACCCCGTTAGAATTATGCATGATATGAGAACTGAAAAATGAGAAATTATATGATATGAATGTAAAACGATAGCAGAGTTATATTTAATAATGTCGAAAATTGAAAAATATTGGGACCTCATGCATTATGTGTGTTCAGGGGGATACCCCTATTTCATCACGATGGTACGGACGTGTACACTAATGGGCAGAGATACGATCATTATGTTTTACATAATGCTGTCGTGACGGTTACTAATTCTAACAGGTGTCTGGCCTAAGGAGTTTTCAGAGTATGCTCACCCAACAAGGAAAGTGGTCTAGCGGTGTGCGAACTAACTGGTGAGTCCATACTCGCACGTATGTATAAAGAATGTTATGAGTGACATGATATCACGATAAGTGACATGATATCACGATAAGTGACATGAAATATAATCCCGTTAGAATTATGTATGATATAAGAACTGAAAAATGAGAAATGATATGATATGAATGTAAAACGATAGTGGGGTTATATTTAATAATGTTGAAAATGGAAAAATATTGGGACCTCATGCATTATGTGTGCTCATGCATTGGGGGATACCCTTATTTCATCACGATGGTACGGACTTGTACACTAATGGGCAAGGGTACGATCATTATGTTTTACATAATGCTGCCGTGACGGTTACTAATTTTAACGGGTGTCTGGCCTAAGGAGCTCCAGTGTATGCTCGCTCGACAAGGAAAGTGGTCCAGCAGTGTACGAACTGACTGGTGAATCCATACTCGCATGTATGGGTTGTGTGTAGAGTATATGATACACATCCAAGTTACCCGTTAGGACAGTACCTTTGGAAAATAGATTAAAAGGATATGTCCCGTCATTGCATTCGCATGTTCTTGCGTTTAACCCAAATAATGGGTCACTGACTCAGTATTTCTTTAAATACTCAAGCCACATGCTACTACATTTTTCAGGTTGAGGCAAGACATTTAGTATTTCTTTAAATACTCAAGCCACATGCTACTACATTTTTCAGGTTGAGGCAAGACATTCTTGTACAGCTAACGACAACATCGCAACTCAAGACCATGACACATGCATAAGGTAGTGGTATTTATTTTCTTAAACTTAGGCTAGAATATGATGTTTTTAATTTAAATGTTTATTTATTTTATTTAGCCTTTTGTTGCGTCGTTTTAAAGGTGTTTTAGAAATAAGTAAGTCCATGGCTGTGTTTTAAGATAAAGGCTACGTTTGATAGAATTTAAATGAAGTCTTTCCACATTCAATGTTCATGATATGTATACCGTAGCAATCTTAAATTAAGTATAAGATTTTGGATCGTTACAATAGTATTATCCAATAAAGGACAAATAATTATCTTTCATAAAGGGCAAGACTATAGACAAGTAAGTTCAGAGAATTATCTCAAGTTTATGTTAATCAAATTAACTTAATAAGACGAGAACTATTTTTAGGAGAAAACAACTGTCTTTTTATTCTTGATTCTATACTCATAAATATCTTATTATTTTTGGGGTGGCCAACGGTCGATTAATATAGTCGTTTGCCCATTTGATCGTGTTCAGCTAATTACAGGTTCAGGAATTGGTTAGGCGTGGAAATAACCAAAATATCCCTCTAGAGTTGACTTTTAATTTTCACTATTTTTTAATATATATTTTTTAAGTTTACTAGATTTTTTTATACTAATTGATGTGTTTTAACATGTCATAAAGACTTCCTGGTGTTGGCCTCGGGTGTTTTTAAGTTTTAGAGAATTATCTCTTAGATTATAAGTTATTATGGTATTGATTAACATGAAAGATATCCCCTTTCAATTAACCATGAGTTACTTTCACTTCTAATTTCAAGCTATAAATAGTAATTTATGTTGTTGCTTGAGTGTAAAGATTTTAGATATTAAAAATAAAGTTAGTATATTATGTTTATTAAGTCTGAGATTGTTCCTTTGCATTTATTGTGTTTAGATTTACATGCTAAAGTCATTCAAGTAGTGGATCAAACTAACTTGTGGAGTGATTTGAACCACAAGTTTAGAAATAAATTTTCTTTACTCTTAATCTTGATCATCAAAGTAATCTGTTCCAAAATTTTTCCTTGAGTTGATTCCTTATTATCTTTGTAGTTCTTGGATAATTTAGATCTAGAGATCTTGTTCTTTAACAAGGCTTTTAGATCTAATCCCAAAAATTTCATATCACTTAGTACCGTAGGTTCTAGGTCAGATGTTTCTTATTTTTCATTATGAAAATTTCTTATTCTTTTTTATTTTTTTCCTATTCTATCCCATCGTTACAAAAAAAAAAAAAAAAAAAAAAAATTTTATTTTTTTTTNAAAAAAAAAAAAAAAAAAAAAAAAAATTGTATTTTTTGTTATTCTTTTATTTTCTTGTCTTCTCCCCGTCTAAAATTTTGTACTTTCAAGAAAACTACTTTTTCTTGTCTATTTACGTTCTTTGCAACATGTCACAAAAGGAGATCAACTAAATCTATGTTTCATCAAGTACAAAGACTTTACGAGACAATATTGTTATTAATGATGTAGAGATTAATAGAGACAATATGCAATTATATGTTCCTCCATGTCCATTAGAGAATGAAAAGGAGAAAGAATGCAAGGAAGAAATATTTGACATGTGTATAGAGATTAAAGAGAAAGAGAGTTTTGTTACTAAATTTGTGAGGAGAATAATGTTTTATATACCAAAGGATAGATACACAAACATAACGCAAAAGGGCTTTCATTCTAATGGGAGCATTTAAACTAAGTGTACCTATTTTTTCTATTGAATTCTTGCATGAAATTCAAATGCTTATTGAAGATTCAATGGTTGATTCCAACTCGAGCCAACATCGAACTCATGGTAAAAATATATTACTCCGATTAATATTCTATTGTATTAATATGATATGATTCAAATGTATACCACTTTTGTTTATGATGATGTATTTGTTCTCATATATAACTATTTCGATTTTTACATATATAATTTGAATTTTCTAACTGTAATTTTTATAATATATTAATAAGTCCCTAAATTTTTTTATAATATATGTGAATATCGTCTTTTTGAAGGTTGCACTCATGAGAGGAGCGTTGGGGTTTGGGAAGACGGGTATGCTAATCCTAGGATTCATTGGTCCTTTAATAATAAGGTTTGTAGCATACTCACAAACACTACCACCTATTTTAGTTGTCGTGCACACTGTGTTCCACGTATCTAGTACACCCCTAACCCATATCATGTAGTTGAGTATGAGACTGCGAAGAGTCCGTTGGAATTTTGGCCACTAAGGTCAAGAGGTTGAGGAACAAGAAAATCGTCCTATTTAAGATTTTATGGAGGTTTTGTTGTAATGGCCTTGGTTAAGAGCAAAGTAAAAGAGATTGCGACAAAATAGCTCGTGGTGTGAAGAATCGGGTTTGACTTCGAGGCAAGAAATTAAGTTTCGGTTTAGAAGTTTTATAAAAAAAAAAAAAAAGTATCTTTCTATAGTGCGCTAAATGAAACGATCGATGCTATATATTTCTCGGAAGAAGCTGATATGAACCAAGAGACATCAATCATACAATATACTTCAATGAAGATGTGAAGAAAAGGTTGTCAAAATTATCAGAAGATGTTTCAATTCATGCTACATTGAAGAAGAATAAAGTTTGATTGTTGTAAATTTTGAGTGGGTTACAATTTAGAGTAATTTAGAGTTATTGTATTTTAAGACATTTTATTTACTTTAGGTTACATTTACATAATGGCTAATTATAGTCATTAAGTATGAATGTTACTGAGTTTCATTTTGAAGCTATATAAAGCCATGTATGTTATATTGGTAAGAAGACTTGGAAAATATAGTAAAAGGAGCATTTGTGCTTTTCTTTAGCCAATGGCTAAGTTTTTTTGCAACTCTATGTAGTTTAGATTGCGTGTAGAATCATTCAAGCTCGACATGATCAATCTTGCTTGTGGAGTGATTCGAATCTCAATCAAGTGTTCTTGTCTTGAGATATTTGATCAACAAGAATCATTGAAGCTAGATATGATCGATCTTGCTTCTAGAGTGAGTCGTCTCGGCCAGCGTGCAGGCCGCACCTCGCAGGCCGCACTCGGACACCACCCCTGGGCCCCATTCCCTTTCGGCCCAAATCGGAGGCATGCCCAGAAACCCTGCACCGGCAGTGTTCTTCGCAACCATCAGTTTCAGCTCCATCGGCGGCTCCGTGTGCTCCCGGCTCGGCTAGGTTCGGCTTGGCAATGCGGCTCGGTGGCGCGGCTTGGCGGCTCGACATCCGAATAGTTTACCGTTTCCTAGGTTTTCGACCCTTATGGAGCCATTCCCACCCTTGTTTCAACCATCTGAGGTCAGTATAACTCCATTTTGACAAAATAGCTAGCGATAGGGACGTACCTTAGTAGCTAGGCATGAGGGATAGTTATGAGAGGGCTCTAAGTGTATCATGTTATCTTATAGGAGGTAGTTAGGCGACGGAGTTAGCGTTGTGGGTGACTTCGGCCAAGGCCAAGGAGGTAAGTAACCTTACTGTTGGCGTTAGATATGTATGGATGTTGGTGCGTGCCCTGTGGCCCTTGCATGCACCGTGTGTGTTGTTGATGTATGCTAGGTTAGATGTTTCTTGCAGTGGAATATTATGTATGCCATGTTTATATATATGTTTCTTGCAGTGGAATGATATGTATGCCATGTTTATGTATGTGATTCTTGCAGTAAAATGGTATGTATGCCATGTTTATGTATATGACATTTGTGACACGGTTCGCTACCCTGTATGTATGAGATTGATTGACATGTCATGATTGTAATGAGAGCCCCGCATGCCATGAATGTGATGACTAGTATGCTACGATATGCTTACCCGATGTTTGACCCAGTTATGCTATGTAATGCGTGATGGTGTTAATATAACACATGCGGAAGCAATTTGGATCTTAGGCACTTTTAGAACATCAATTATTGTAAATCACTAGCATGTTCATAAGTATTAAAACTTAATGAGTTTAAATACTAACCTTTTGTAGTTCAAACTCCTTTTGCCTCACGAACCGGTTTCGAACCACCACTAGTGTCTTCTCCACTATCCTCCGGCCTTAGAACGGGATTGTGGAATCCGGTGAGTGACTAAACTTGGGAGGGATTTTGTATATGTGAAAGAGAGTGTTTGTGAGAAGTTTTTCTCAAGGTTTTTCATCAAGATGAAGAATCCCCTCCAAGTATCATGATCACTCTATTTAAAGAGTCAAGTTTGCATGTTCATGCAAACTTGAGATCACCAAATTTTGACACTTAAAATTCCACTCAAGAGTTTGGGATTATGTGGCAAGCATGCATGTTTGAGTTAACCAAATTTTGACACCCAAAATTCCACTCAAACTTGTGGGGTTTATTTGGCAAACATGCAAGTTTGGTTAAACCAAATTTTGACACCTCAAAATTCCACTAACATGGATTTTTCCATTAGATGAAAGTCAACATTTTGACTTTCTTCATTTTAATTCAACAATTAATTTGAATAATGAATTTCAAATTAAAGT